CGCCCCGTGCTCGGCGGCCGCTTCCAGGTGGACTTCCCAGCCAGCGGCAGTGACAATCCGCACGTTGTCCGGGATAGAGGTCGCGATTTCCGGGAGGAGTAGCCGCATGTGGCCCTGGTGGACCAGGAGCCAGATAAGAGACTTCGGGTCGGAACGACTGTGAGCCCCCTGGATGACTTCGCAAGAGATGCGGTTCCAAGCGTCCATGCGGACGAGACAGAACGAGACTTCCGCGGCCTCTGCCGGGGGAAAGGCTGCCAAACACCGGTAATCCTTGTCGTGGCCGAAGAAGAGAGCGTCGTGCACGAAGATGCGCAAGTCTTCTTCAGCTTGAGTGCAAATGTCAGGTTCCGGGCCCAAATTTTCCGCGCAAGCCAGAGCCAGGCGGAAAGTTTCCTCCTGTAAGGCTGCCGCTTTGAGGCGGACCTCAGAGAGAGCCGGCACACGATTCGCGGTATGGGCCAAAAGGCCAGCCGCCACATGCAGGTAGAAGCACTGCCGGGGCTCCGTTTCTGGTTTGGGACATTGCAGAGGTTGTAGCTCAGGATGCACGGGCGCAAGCTGGTCGCCGTAGTCATAGACTGCATGGTCACCGTCTCTCCAGCGAAAGGTCGCCCAGGAGTACCCGTCGAAGCCGTGTACTGAGAATTGCCCCAATGCTCCGCGGCCCTCTCGCGACCCGACATGCGTGTCAGGGTGATTATGGAGGTAGTCAGTAGCTTCCGAAGCAAGTTCGGCACTGCCTTCTCGGATAGCGTCCTCGAGGAATTCTTGAACATCGTGAGCGGTTGGAGCCCGGTCGTTTACGGCTGTTAGCCGGTTGCGCAGATAGGTGCCCAGATGCTGGGGTAGATCTGGGAGAAGGCCGCTGCTGTCAATCTCGTCCATGCAGTGACGCTTGGCTTGGATCTCGGCTGAATCGGGTGACTCCCGGCAAGTGACCGTGCGCACAGCGGGGGGCGCGTGGTCGAGGGTCCAACTTGCAGCAGCTTCTCCTGTCATAAGTCGAGCAAGGGGGTCTTCCATATCAGTGGCGGCAAAATTGGCGAGCGCCGCGGGCGCTGGGGTCCAGCCAGCTCGGGTGTCTTCCCGGTACTGGGTCGAGGCATCCTGAGGAGGAGGGCCCCCCGGTCCGCTTGGCCATCTCTTTCGCTCTTTTGCCTTCCTGAATGTTGGACTCGAGCTTCTGGGCTTGCTCCTTTCGGATGGATTCGATGGTGGCGTCCACCTGGTCCCCTTTGAGTTTCGGACGGGCGGGATGCCCGCCTCGTCGCAAGAGTTGCATCTGCACGCTCCAATCGAGGGTGTCCCAGTGTGGTGCGTTGCCATGGTGCGAATGCGGGCAATCCTTTCCCTTGTTGCACTTGCGGTGGGAAAAGTAATCCCAACACAGATACTTCCCGTCTTTGTCCTTCGGGCGGTGATCCATGGAGCGGCCCGCCTCTTTGCTGGTCAGAGCATTTCCCAGGAGGGGGGCGGGTTCCTTGGCGGCAGTGTTAGCGCCAGGGGCACTCCCTCTGCCTCCAGCCCGTGGGTTCCTAGGGTTGGGAGCGGAAGGTTGCGCTTTGTCTGGTCCGCCAATGTCTTCAGCTCCAGCTCGTCCGCCAGTGAGTGGTGACGGTCTCTTGAGGGCCATTGACCAGCAAGCACGATCCAACATGCGCTGTTGGCGAGGAACAATATCCGTTTGGAAGTACTCTCCTGGCGCCTGTAGGTCAAAAGTTTGAGGCAGCCGGAGCCAGGGTTCGCCATTTTCTCCAGGGGATGTGGCGAAAAACCGAAGACGGTCAAAGCTAGGGCTCTCGTCTTGCATTTCCCGCCTGGCCCTTCGATCGAGCGCCCTCAACTCTTCCGTGAAGCGGGCCCAAAGCTCCTCCCACACACTCATGACCGAATGCAACGGCCACGCATGGGCATATTCTTCCCCGAATTTAAGGAGTTGTGCCGCAGCTTTTTCCCAACTGCCATAGTACTCTGCCCCCAGGATACATGCCATGGCCCAAGCTTGGCGCAGAGCATTTCTGTACCAATTGGACAGAGTAATGGGATTCCGCGCCCGTTTTTCCAACTTGTTATCCCCAGGCGGGCTAAACAAGTCAAACTCCTCCTCCGAGGTCTGGGCGAAATCGGCCACCGTGAGGCAATAGTCAGGCGGATTACCTTTGCCTCTGAAACTGAGGGAGGCAGCCCCAAAGGCGATGTGGTTGGTAATGTTCACCGGGAAGCTGATTTCTCTCAACAAGGGCCGGTTCTGCGTCGCTACAGACTGTAGGGCATGGTACAGCTCCTTTCCGACCGTGGCTTCCCCAAGGTGCACCGTCAGCGTGTCGCACCCTCTAGCCAGGTACAGCATCCTTTCTTCTGTTCTGCCGATCGAGGACAGCTTCCCTCGATCTTGGGCAGCTGGGTCTTCCTTCGCCGCCATAACTTTTGCGATTGTCTGCAGAGCCTTTGAAGTTTCATCGAGGGCCGGAGGTCCCGGATCGGTATATGCTCCAGCATGAAAGGGTCGGAAGGCATGCAAACCTTGTATCCCTCCGGAACCTGCTGGACCGGACATTCCTGGGAAAGTTCCAACCGCTCCCGGGCTCGAAACAAGCCTCGGGCGCGGCAGGGCAGAATCGATCTCGCTCTTAGGGCGAAACAAGCTCGCAGCGAGCTCACCGGAAGTGCGAGGACCCGGGAAATGACTCGCAGGAGCCGAGGCCGGCCTCCCCAGCCGTGGGGCTGGCGTGTCGGATTTCTCTTCTTCTGTGGGCCTCTCCAACGTGGCCTCCAGCATCCGAGTTACCGGGTCGTATTCGGGTTCTTGACATACGGCAGGGGGATGCGCAAGGCGGTTGAGCGCTCTCCAGGCGGGTGATTCTCGGGTTTCCAAGTCTTTGTGTTGTTGCACATAGGCCTTCGCCAGGGAAGTCAACGAGTCCTGGAACCCAGGATGCTTCCACTTGCCGTCCCCCGGGTTCCTGGCAGAGAGGGCCTGATACGCTTCCTCTGCCTCTTTGCCCTGGAGCAGCTCGACCAGGAGCTCAGCAAGGTCTGCCCTGTCAGCCACCGCGCCCTGCATTGCGTTGACTTCTGGTCTCTCTGGTTGACGCGCAGTCTCTGACCTTTGGCCGGTATCCACCTGGGGCGGTGAAGCCTCGCATGCCCTAGGTGCGGTTTTGGCCCGGGGCTTCTCTTCTGTGGCTCCGTGCAACTTGCAAAAGTTGACCCCCTTCCTGGTCCCTGTGACTGGCTGCAAGCACCCCTTCACCGCACATGCTCGACCCAGGAGCGAGCCCTGGTACATGGACCTGTGGTACTCACAGGCATGAAAGCATGGGTCGCCGCCTTCAGTGGTTGGTAACCCATCAAGACAGCTGTTGGATCGGTCAGCTTGTAGAAGCACAACGGGACAGCCTCGGGCCACGTCTCTGCAAGGTCCAGCAGCAAGAGGAACCACCTTGCCGTAGTTGTCTAGGGCGACCTGGTCCGCTTGACAATGCAGCCCCGTGGGGCCTAGTTCCGCCTCGGATTCCGTCTCAGAATCTTCGTGTTTTTGGCCCTGGTACCCTGCGCCGCGCTCCGGGCGAGAAACTCGCCTCGTACGGCAACACCGGCACCACAGACACCAGCACCAAGCTCGGCCGCATCTTGCCATGCTGCGGCCGAAACAGCGGCACCAAAGTATCCCGCAAAAACTTGTGATCACCGCGCACCGTCCCCAGGGCCCTCTTCCTGCTAGTTCCTGCAGGTTGACCTCTCGGTCCTGCGGGACCGTTGCGCTGGCCCTGATATGCACCTGCGCAACTTCTGGGGCGGTGCAAGGGTCTTGAGCGCACAGGTGGACAGCGCAGTTGGCAGTCTCTATGTGGTGACGGAGGTATCGATGCGACGAGGCTCGAACTTCTTCACACTGGCAGAGGAAACCGTGCCGATTCGTTCTTCCCCTTATAGTCCCATGACGAAGCCTCGCTACAGCAACTCCGTCTGCAACTAAGAGGTCGAATGGCTTCTGATTCGGTCCTCTTCCCCGTACCTCGCGCTGGATGTACAAGGCGGACCATGGTGTCCCTGCACCCGGCCCTTTCCACACGGGTATGAAAGGCCTCTGCCCCTGCAAGCGTGTCACATCGCTCCAAGTGCCTGTCCCTTGGCAGTATCGCCAGAGAGCCCTGGAGTGAATCCAAGTCGGATGAATGACCCACGTGTAGGTCCATACAAGCAACTGGAGCAAGAAGACGAGGACCATCCCGGTAAGGAGCCAGTAGCTCCATCGGGCGGCTAAGCCAATTGAGGCACAAAGAGTCCCACAATAGCTTATCCCATTCTCCGCAACCTGTAACAGCATCCGTACCCACATTTTGATCCACCAGCTGTTTCCGACGTAATGGTAGGCGCCATCCCAGGCAACACTCCACCAGTCCCAAGTTCCGTTACCTCCAAGCCCAGGATCCGGGCGGGATGGCCCGCCTCGGTCCCTTGGGCCTGCTTCTGTTCGGTTTCTAAGATCGTCGGAGGAGTTGGTACCAGTCAGCAGTCCAAGCTGCAACAAGTTCCATCCATTTGCCGTGGCTGACGCTAGGAGGTAAACGACCCCTAGCGCGGCCCGAACCATGGCCCCCGGCTACCTTGAGCCCAAAACTAAGGTAAACCCTATTTAGGTCAAAACCTAGAGCGCGCTACACTAAGCTCCTACAGGTAGCACATCTCCAAAGACCATTTGAAGGTCATGTTTCGAATTCCCAAACTAGTACATTTGCCCGTGTGGTGCACAGAAAAAACGGCCAAGATCACCATATGGACTTCAGAAACCACCTCCTGATCAACACAAAAATGTGCTGCAGCAGTTGGGTGTGTTTGAAAATTGCGGTATACCGTATACACACAAACAAATAGCCTTGTTATAGGGACAATAATAATAATCCATTTATTTCAGGGATACCCTATTTTCAGACAACACCCATTTCTTTTTCCTTCGCAATTTCATTCGCAAAAACCATGA